AAGGCTGCATTGTTCAAAGAAATATGCAAGCCACATACATAATTTAAAATGTTCTAGTATATACATTTTTTTTTGAGACAGAGTTTCACTGTTGTTGCCCAGGCAGCAGTGCAATGGTAGGATCTCAGCTCACCACTACCTCCACCTCCCAGGTTCAAGTGATTCTCCTGCCTCAGCCTCCCAAGTAGCTGGGATTACAGGTATGTACCACCACACCCGGCTAATTGGTATTATTAGTAGAGATGGGGGTTTCTCCATGTTGGTCAGGCTGGTCTCGAACTCCTGACCTCAGGTGATCCACCCACCTCAGTCTCCCAAAGTGTTGGGATTACAGGTATGAGCCACCATTCTCAGCTACATTTTTTTAAAAGTAGAAACAAATAAAATTAATTGTAATAATATATTTTATTTTAACCAGTCTATCCAACGTATTGTCATTTCAACATTTAATCCAATATTCTATAAATTGAAATTTTTTTTCTACTAAATCTCAAAATCTGAGTATATGTATTTCACACTTCACAGCACTAGCCATATTTCAAATGCTCAAAGCCACAGGGAGGGGGAGGAGCATTTGTCGCCAGTATTGTCATGTTTGCAATAAACAAGAGTTTAAATGAATAGCAAACAGTAACAGGCTATGTTAGCAGACAATAATAACCTTTTAGTAATCTATGTTTAGGGTTCTAAAAATATTGCGCACTTTTGAGTTTATGATCGTTTTCACCACATTTTAACTAATCTAGCTGTAACCGTACTCGGGGTTACCCATACCCTCCCTTTTCCACTCCACTTCCTCACCCGCTCCCCTTCCCTAAATTATTTCAGTTACAGAAAAAGAATCTACCTTCAGGTGGTGCTTTCTACAACACATATTTAAAATCGACATAGGGAGGGTCAATGGAAAGGCACAGAAAAATTCTGGAAGGTGAACAGAAATGTCCAGAGAATTCCACATAAGTCTTGAAATGGTAAAATAACTTTTTTTTTTTGAGACAGGGTCTCACTCTGGTTGCCCAGGCTGGTGTGCAGTGACGCAATCTCAGCTCACTGCATCCTCGACCTCCTGGGCTCAGGTGATTCTCCCATCTCATCCTCCTGAGTAGCTGGGACTACAGGTGGGGGCCACCATACCTGGCTAACTTTTTTGTTTTCAGTAGAGGCAGAGTTTTGCTATGTTGGTCAAGCTGTTCTCGAACTCCTGGACTCAAGCAATCCGCCTGCCTTAGCCTCCCAGAGTACTGGGATTTCAGGTGTGAGCTACCACGCCCAGCTATGTTATAACATTAATAAAAAAGAACAGAAGCCAGATATTCTTAAGCAGTAATTCAACTAAACCAGGCAAACAGTTTAATGCTAGAATAGAGAAGAGAAAATCGGGCCAAAATAAGTCACGAAAAGCTCCCCTCTCCGCCTCCTGCCTCTACCCCATCCCTCGGGAGAATTTGAGTAGGATCATTCTCCAAAGATTTGATTATAGCAAGTATTTCCTTTATAACTGACTGGCTCTTTCTAGACACCAGACCAAATTCTCCTTCATTAATCTATTAAAGTACCTACGATAAGTTAAAATACTAGACAATAAATTCTGCTTGTGAAAAAACAAATTGCTGAACTGGGTGTGACTACACTATCTGGGGTGGGGTGTGATGGGAGAAGACTATGTATTTTAGTTGCAATAGGTCAAAGTACATCAGCATTCAAGTTTAAAACAAACTCAACAACTCAAACACTGCAACAACAGGATGTTTGACACTTTCTTTTTGCCAGATATAATTACATGGTTATGAAGTGTTTACCAGTGCTTAAAATGAAAAAATGAGGAAACCAAAATTACAGCTCAGTAGTTCTCAGCCCTTTGATGAATTATGTTACCCAGAAACCTATCCCTATCAATTAGATTATGCTTTTAAAAAGTTAAATCAAAATATTATAATTCTTTTAGTTCATCGGACTTCATGATGGCCACTTCAAATAATGAAAGTGATTAAAGTGGCAAATCATCAGTGAAGTCTTTAGACACCTATTTACGTTTTAAAAACCAGATACTAAACCAAGATTATATCATTTGTACAAATATTTTACACACACACACACACAAAACCAATTTGAAACACAGCAAGGATTATCTCTGGGTAATTATGGGTTTTGTTTTTTTCCACTCTGCTTCTAGTTTTTTTGGGTTTTGTTTTGTTTTGTTTTGTTTTGTTTTGAGACAGAGTTTTGTTCCTGCCGCCCAGGCTGGAGTGCAATGGTGTGATATTGGCTCACTGCAAATTCCACCTCCTGGGTTCCACCGATTTTCTTGCTTCAGCCTTCCTCCTAGTAGGGATTACAGGCGACTGCCACCACATCCGTCCAGTTTTTGCATTTTTAGTAAACACATGGTTTCACCATGTTGGCCAGGCTAGTCTCAAATTCCTGACCTCAGATGATCTGCCCGCCTCGGCCTCCAAAAGTGCTGGGATCACAGGCCTGAGCCAACTCACCCGGCTTAACTTTAATGTCTGCAATGATCACGCATTATTCTTAAAACTAGAAGGAAAAACAAAACAGGCAAGCAGGAACTGAGGTAGTGCTCATCAGTTTGGGATTATATTGAATTGTGCTATCCTTTATACCTCCATAACCTCTTACAGGCATCCCCAAACTACGGCCCGCGGGCCACATGCGGCCCCCTAATGCCATTTATCCGGCCCCCCCGCTGCACTTCAGGAAGGGGCACCTCTTTCATTGGTGGTCAGTGAGAGGAGCACAGTATGTGGCGGCCCTCCAACGGTCTGAGGGACAGTGAACTGGCCCCCTGTGTAAAAAGTTTGGGGACGCCTGCCGGGTCTCATTCAGAGCCCTTGAAGAAAGGAACCTTGGCTTTTCTAAAATACATACTCGATTACATTCAGATATACAATAATATATGACGCACACATTAATATGTCTTCTTTGAAAAAGCAGAACAATTTTGTGCCCTTGCAAAACGAGTAACAGCTATGGGTGGGAGCTCACGGAATAAGAGAAGGCACAAGGCATTTGTCTTGATCCAAAACAAAAACTGTAAGCCTTCCACTGAACGCCACTGTTTACTTTAAAAATGGTTCATTCTGTATCAATTTCACTTCAATTATAAAAGTAAACCTAAAAGCCGGGCGAAGGACTCGCGCCTGCAATCCCAGCACTTTGGGATGCCACAGCGGTAGGATCGCTTGAGTTCAGGAGTTAGAAACCAGCCTGGGCAACATGGTGAAACCCCGTTTCTACAAAAAGCAGAAAAATTAGCCAGGCGTAGTGGTGCACGCCTGTAGTCCCAGGTACTAGGGAGGCTGAAGCAGGAGGATCGCTCGAGCCCAGGAGGTAGAAGCTGCAGTGAGCCAAGATCGAGCCACTGCACTCCAGCCTGGGCAACCAGAGTGAGACCCTGCGTCCTAAATAAACAAACCTAGCAACGTTACTTTCTAAATACCCCATATTGAATAAACACTGTTTAAATACTGCTTTACTCCCAATCGATCCTAATTTTTTTAAAGAAAACTCCTGTTTTTTCTAGAGCAACAAATAAGGACTGCTCATCAAAGTGGAAGCTACTGCGGTGCTGGAATGGGTAGGAAGGTACAAAAAAAATACAATGTAATAATACACCTCTTTCCTTACAGCAATGGTGGAGTGATAGAAACAAGGAAGCCACAAAACAGTCATGAGTGATTTTGCTGTTTTTAATAAAGGTTAAGTACTGCTGACTTTAAAGAATTTGGAGTGACGAGCCAGGGAAGATTTCAACAGGCAAAAGAGCAGAATTAGAGCCCAGAGCAAAGTCGGGTGGGTCTCATTACACTTCTAATCCTCGATGACAGCACAAAGCCACCCCTCCTTGTGCTTAAGTGTAGACGGACATTGATTGAAAATGCACTGAAATCCAACTCATCCACCAAGCAAGGCTAAAGGCGCGCACACATGAAATTCAAGAGCGCTGCGTTCGCGTGGCTGGAGGGCAGACGGTGAATATTCCATTTTACTTAGTAGTGTTCCAACACCTAGCTGCAGGCTTACACCTGCTTAACAAAAGCTGGCAGGGGGCTGGAGAGCTGCACACCACCAGCCCTCTCCCGAGAGCCGACCGGCCTCGCCCCGCCTCTGTGCTGCACCCAGGGCGCAGGCGGACAGGAGCAGGGCCGCCACCAGCCTCCGCCCGGCCGACCCCGATGCGGCGCTACGGGACAGACCCGCAGGGGCCACCCCACAGCCCTACGGGCGACACCTCTGCGGGCCGGCCCCCAGCCCCGGTCCCGGACGCCAGCTTGGGGAGGAAGGCCGGGGGCCTAGCCACCAATGGCAGGTGGGCGGCCTGGCCTCCGCAGACAAAGCTAGGCGCCCCAACAGACAGGACGAGACCCTACGCACCACGCGCCGGCAACCGGCCGGCACCGGAGCCCGGCCCGCGCCGCCACCCTCAGCCCGGCGCCCATCCCCCGGACCCCGCTGCTCGGCCCCCAGCCGGCAGAAACCTGCCCGCCGCGCCCGGAGCGCCAGCGCAACCGCCGTCCCGGCCCAACCAACGCGGGCAGGGGAGGAGAGGTGCGCGCGGCCGGCGGAGCTTGCGAGCCACTCGGGGGTCGCAGGGGGAGGCTGCGCGCGGCGGAGGCAGGGGCAAGGAGGCGCCGAGGCCGGCGCTCAACGCGGCGGCAGGAGGGCCTGCTGGTGGGGGCTTTGCCCCTTTCTCCTAGAAAGGTGCAGATGGTTTGACCCCCCACCCCGAGTGAGGTGCCTCGTCCCAGCCCCGGCTGGACTGTACCATCGGGCGGTGCCGCCGGGATTTCTCCCCCCCACCACCACCATCAATTCCCCCCCACACCCGGGTCCGCGGTCGGTTGGCCCCGGCCGGGCTCTGAGACGCGGAAAGAGCTGGGCGCCATTTTGGGTGGGACTAAGCAAAGACGAAACACCCTCCCAGTCTATGGGGTACTCTGGACCCTGGCTTATCTGGTTCCCTTAATCCTTTAGGTACTTACACGACGTTGGGTGAGGGGAGCTGGAAGATCAGCGGGTCCCCGATCCTCTCTCCCTAGGGGTGATAGAAATCAAACCCCCCCGCCACCTCCAGGTGGTTCTTCCCGCCGCAGAGTGGGAGCAGCATAAAAGGCGGGGTCTTATTAGCATAATCTGCCTGGCAACCTGATCTCGACATTATATGATTGGTTAAACTCTGTAACCCCCATGCCTTGCCTAGAGATGAGAAACGCTGGGGCGAACTGACAGGCCCAGATTTAGGAGTCATGACGAAGATCTTGAGACGCTTATTCAGTCTGCAGAGAAGCCAAAAGGAGATTCACACAATGGCCCAATGACTGGAGGCCTCTTTATTTCGTGCTCTGCGGTTCGTGTAAAACCCAATCGCAGAGCGGGTCTCAGGCGGCGCTCGCCTGCGTTTCTACTCTCAGCCAATCAGAAAGCCCGGCTCTTCGCATTGGGGTCAAGCTCCCGCGGCTGCCGGACGTGGTCGGGCAGGGAGCGTGCGGCGCGCCTGTTTTTCTCGGGCGCCAAGGGCCGCCTGCCGGGGGGCTGGTCCCGCCTCCCAGTCCCAAGGGCCTGGGGTTCCTGGAAGCGCGCGCGCGCGGGAGTGAGGCGGCCCTCCCGTCCGTCCGCCCCGCCACGGGTTGCGTCAGAAGCGGCCTGGCCGCGGAGCGCCGGCGAAAACCGAACTCTCGTCCCGCGCGACCCGGGCTCGGCGCGGCCCGGTTACGGCTGCGGGGGTCTCGCCCTCAGGACCCCCAAAGAGCGGCCCGCCGCCGCCAATCACCCTGACCCACCGCGCCTCGAGAGCGCTTTCACTGCACCTCTCCTTTCCCCTCTACCAGTCTGGAAAGGAAGAGATTGTCATTTCAGACATTGAGAAGCATGATTCCGCACTGGTTACCCAATGACTCAGCTCACTCCTTTCTTCACCGTAGGCTTCCACATCCTGCCGTCCCTTAAAATTGCCTTCTCAAAGGGCAGCCAAGAGCCCAGCTTTGGAGAGACCCAGCTCCAAATACCCACTGGCAGGCAGCACGCGTGGCAGCTAGATGGCAGAGAGACCTTGGACCTTCGGACCCTCGGGGAGCGAGTCTCCCTTCCGTGATACCTACCTTGCTACGTTACTTTGAAGATTAAATGAGCTCTGACTTTAAAGTACCGAGTAAAGTACTTTGCTTAGCACACTGTCTGGAACTTAAATGAGAAGTACTGACGATATAACCTACAAAAATCCTAAACGATTGCCTAACCTGAGAAAAAGAGGGAGACAGGAGAGGGAGCAGAAGACAGGAATAGAAAACACCCACAACGGGAAAAACTGTAAAATTAACTCAGTAGTATTCTCTTCACTGGTTTGTTTTTGTGTTTTATTTTTTGATAACGGAGTCTGGCTCAGTCGCCCAGGCTGGAGCGCAGTAGTGAGATCTGGGCTCACTGAAATCTCTGCCTCTCGGGTTCAAGTGATTCTCCTGCCTCAGCCTCCCGAGTAGCTGGACTACAGGCGCCCACCACCATGTCCTCTCAAATTCTAACCTCAAGTGATCCTCCCGCCTCAGCCTTCCAAAGCGCTGAGATTACAGGCGTGAGCCACCTTGCCTAGTCTACCATTTTGTTATTTAAATAGTTGGAAACAGCCAGGCGCAGTGTCTCATGCCTGTAATCCCAGCACTTTGGGAGGCCTAGGCGGGCAGATCACCGGGTTAGGAGTTCGAGACCAGCCTGACCAACATGGTGAAATCCCGTCTCTACTAAAAATACAAAAATTAGCCGGGGGTGGTGGTGCGCACCTGTAATACCAGCTACTCAGGAGGCTGGGGCAGGAGAGTCGCTTGAACCTGAGAGGCAGGGGTTGCAGTGGGCCGAGATCATGCCACTGCACTCCAGCCTGGGTGACAGAGTGAGACTCCCATCACAAAAGAAAAGAAAAGAAAAGAAAAGCTGGAAACAATGTGGAAGAGAGCAGGCCTTGCAAAAGCTGCCACTCCCCGATATTCCTCGGCCTCAGTGAAAACTGCTCCCTTTTAGATTTAACATTATTACATCCTTGCTGATGAACTGAGATGGTCTCAACTGGTCTGCTGACCAGAGAAACAACACTACAGAACCCAACAGAGAACGCACCACGAGGAATGGGGTTATTCAAACTGGAAAGCCTGAGTTACCCTCATGGCTTTACAGAAATGTTCCAAAACTTCCCAGTACATAAATATGTGCAGGGAGATTACACCCTACAGAGTTTTTATTCAGAGGGTCTGAAGTGAACCTCAGGAATTTGCTTTATATGTGGATTTTTAAATGATTTTCAAAGTTTACACTTTAAAATTCACTCATTGGGGTGTACAAGAAGTACTTGTTGAATATATACTGTGTGCCACTCACTGTTCTAAACAAGAAAGACAGAATAGGGAACAGCAGCAACAAAAAAAGGCCCTGCTCTCATGCAGCTTCATTCTAGTGCAGGTAACAAGAAGAAAATTAATAACTCCAGGTAATGATAAGTGCTGTAAAGAAAGTAAACTAGGAAAATGTGAAGGCAGAGAACACTGGCCCTTTAAATATGGTACCAAAGAAGTTTTCTCTAAGATACTAACATGTGATCTGATCCTTGAGTTATGGGGCGGAGGGGAGGGGGGAGCCAGCCATGTTAAGATCTTGGAGAACATTCCAGTCTAAGAGAATGGTAAAAGTAAAGACCGTGATGTCAAAAACAAAATAATTAGTATGGTGTGCACATATCTATTCTCCTATTGAAGAGATATTCATTGAATGCATGCCAAATGCCAGGCACTGTCTTAGATGCTCTGGGATTCGTCAATTAACACTATAGACAAAAGCACAGACACAACACAAAAATCCATGCCTTGACTGAGCTTTCAGTCTAACACACTGAGAAACAGCAAGAAGGCCAGACGTGTTGGAACATAGGACAGAGTGATACAAGAAAGCGTGTAGTGCTACAAGGATACAGTGACAGAGGAAAGCTTGGGGATCTACTTATGGGACAGACCACATAAGGCTCTGAAGGCTGTGGTATTGGAATTATTATTTAAAGTGCAGTTTAATAGGATCATTGACTAAGTGTGGGAATTAAAAGAAAAAAGTGCAACTTTTTGGAGGTTTTAAGTAAGGGAGTAACACAGTTTTTTCTTTCAAAAGAACTCTGGCTCCTCTAGTATGCTGATTTTGTTAGGGGAGAGGGCAAGAGACGAGGAGTCTGTGGCAACATGCTCTAAACAAGAAACGGCCCAGCCTGACTAAAACAGAAGTCGCTTAAATGGGGAGAAATGTATGGACACCAGGTATATTTTGGAGGTGAAGCCACAGAACTTGCAAACAGATAAGACACAGGACAGAGTTGGAGTTGCTCGTGACAAGGGAGTCATCGAGAATGATTTATAAGGTTGAAAATTAAGTGGCCGATAAATGTTGATGCCTTAACTGAGATAAGGAACACTGGGAGATAAATGGTTAGAAAATCAAGAGTTGTATTGTAGCCATGTTACATTTAAAATATTTTTTTGGAAAATCCAACTAGACACAACACGTTGGCAGCCGGAATCCAAAAGAGAGAACGGGGCTGGAAATACAATTGTAGAAATACAATTCATCAGATTATACATTGTGTCTAAATACATAGGATTAGATGTGATCCTCTAACTAGGATTAGATGAGAGAGAGTGTGTATATAGAGAAGACAAGTGTATCCAGGACTAAGGTCTTGGGAGCTGCTGAATTTAGAGGTGGATAACAGGAAGGCAGCCATCAAAAAGGCCGAGAATGAAATAACAGGAGGAGAACCTGGAGAGGATGGCTGAGAAGGCAAGGGAAGACAGTGGTTCAAGAAGGATGTAGTGTTGCCAGCTGTAGCAAATGTTGCTGAGAGCTGATGATAACAAGTTAACCTGTGGATCTGGAAAGATGGAGGTGAAAACCCTTAGTAACTTTGACAATAATAGCTTCAAGGGAGAACTAGGAAGCTTACTGAGAGTTGCCTGAAGAGAGCATGGGAGGTGAAGAGTCACATCTGTTGCCAATAGTATAGCACATAAGAGAGGCCAACAAAAACAACGAATATGCTGCAGCCGGCTATGATCACACCACTGCTCTGCAGCCCAGATGACAGAGCGAGACCCCGCCTCCAAAAGAAAAAAAAATTATGTCACGAAACACAAAGAAAGCCCGAAAAACTGTTCCAGCTTAAAGAAGAATAAAAAGACAGAACTAGGCCAGACATGGTGGCTCACACCTATAATCCCAGCACTTTGGGAGGCTGAGGCAGGAGGATAGCTTGAAACCAGGAGTTGGAGACCAGCCTGGGCAACATGGTGTGACCCTGCCTGTACAAAAATTTAAAATTAGCCAGGTGTGCTGGCATGTACCTGTAATCCTAGCTCCCTGGGAGGCTGTGGGAGCATCATTTGCACCTGGGAGTTGGAGGCTGCGGTGAGCCATGTTTGCACCATTTCACTACCGCCTGGGTGACAGATCAAGACCGTGTCTCAAGAAAACAAAAAACAAAACAAAACGAAACAAAAAACACCTAAATGAAAGCTATGCCCTGGATTGGACCTAAATCAGGAAAAAGCATTTTTTGTAGATATAAAGGATGTTAGTATACCAACTAACTGGCCACATTGGAATAAGGTCTGTGGATTAGAGGATGCTGGAATAATGTATAAATGTTCATTTCCTGATTATGGTCATTGTAATATGAATATATAGAAATATACTTTTGCTTTTAGGAAAAACACTGAGCAAAGGGGATATGGATCTGCAGTTTACAGTCAAACCATTCAGAAAAATAAAGAAGTATGTATACACACATACATGCAAACAGAGAAAATGAAAAACCAAACATTATCAAGTTCACAAAAGCCTATCTGTAGGATAAAGAAAAAAAAAACATTGTTAAAATGTTCATATCTGGGGGATTCTCTGTCACAGTATATGGGTATTTTTATACTATTTTTTGCAACTTTTCTGTAAGTTCAAAATAATCAAACAAGATAGTAGTCAAAACAAAACCAAAAAGATTCAGTCATTTGTCTTCAGATCTGCACCGTGAAGGAAGGATGACAGAAGTGAAGATCTGA